GCATAAAATTGATCCTATCACGAAAAAGTTAATATGAGAGGAAAAAAAAAAAAGGTCTTCCACATTACTTTACATCATAATCGTTTATTGTTATTGGTTCATTATCACTGTAATTACTCAATCATTTTGCTAGAAAAAAAGAGGAATTAATTATATTACAATTTTTTGATTCCTCTAATTTAGTAAAAATTCTTTTGTTAAAATTGTCTTATGCTAATTTCTTAAAATGATAATTATTACTATAAATTGGAGATTATGAATATGATTATGATCAAAAGATTTAGACTCATAAAAGGTAGTGTAATTTTTCTTTTCTTTTAAATTGCCATAATTTTATTTATAATTTTTAATTCCTAGAAATTATAAGATCGGATCAGTTGTATGAATCTCTCAAATTTTGATAATACGACAATATGAATGAATATTCTTGGTCCAAAGTTTTGATTTGATAAGATCATCTTTAGATAAGCTCACAGTAATAATAAATTTTTTTACATATTTTGATATTTTGATATTTTAATAAATATTATTAAAAAAAATTTATATAATTTTTTTATAATTAAGTATTTTTAACAGGAAGATAATTCTCATTACCATTCATTATTTAATTATTCATGTAATTACGTGTCAACTTTCTTTCCTTATAATTGTTCAAAATATTTGAACCAATCGTTATATCGTTCTTCATTATTTGACTTGTAATTTGAATCAACCGAAGTTACGCGTGATCGCTAATCGATTTATTTTATAAAGGATCAAATAAATTGATATATATTGGCTTTTACATTATTTTCTGATTCTCAACCATGAAAATGTAACAATTTTTGATAATAAATAATTATATTTATTATTTTTTTATTAATTATTTAAATAATGTCTACAATTTAATATGAAATATTCAATACATGGAAATTTTTTTTATACTGTACATCTCTCATTATATTTCATTACAATTTCTAAACTAGGTAAAATACACGTTTAAGTAGTGGTTAAATAAATTGTTATAAGAACTAACATTTAAATAAATAATCTACTGTAAGTTAAAACAATTAATATAAAAAAACTAGCCCGCTAGCCGTTTTTTAAATTATTAAAAAGCTCTAACAGCATCATCCATTATTTGATCCAGTTCCTAGAAAAAAGAAAAATAAATTATTAATACAATAATAAAATTTTAAATAAAGTGATTTCTTTATAAAATTTACCTGTTCTAATTTATCGAGTTCTTCATTAACATTTGAAAATACAGCTTTAATTTCATCTAAAATTTCTGTGGGTTTAATTTGTTCTAAAATCTTTTCTGGATCATCGTTCAAGTGCCACCCGCTCCTACGTCTTTCTTTTAATTCTAACATATTAACACCTGATCTTACTAAAACTAATAGTTCTTGTAAACCAAAATCATCTGTTAATATCCAATCATTTTCTGTTGATGATGATGATATAGAAGACGGTCTTCTTTTTCGTGTTGGTGTAGAAGATTCCGTCGTATTTATGGAATTCACTGAACTAGCTGATGCTGCAGAAGGTGATCTTTTCTTTGTTTTAGTTACTATTGTTCTTGATGGTAGATCACTAATTTGTTCAGTAGATTCAGATACTAAATCTACAGATTCACTTTTTGATTCATTGTTCCTAACTGATTGAAGTTCATTTTTATCCTTGGAAGTAAATTCGTTAGAATTTGTTACGTTTTTATGCTTATTTGTTTGATTTTGACGGTTTTTAATTGCACCAGTACCATAATAACCTTTCCTAACCTTATTTAATACACGTTCTATTCTATCTTCCATTGACTCAGAATTATTATCATTAACCATCTTTTCTAAAATATCCACGTTTTGTGTGCTTCTTCTATATTGTTCCTTTTTATTAATGAATGAAGGTGTACCAGGAGAAAGTCCATTTTCATTAGAATCTTCTGTAGATGAACTTGGTGATGGTTCCTTGGTAGATTCTGATTCATCAGCTATCACACCTAGTACTTCATCATCACCCCAAATATCTTCAATAATATCACTAATATCAATCTCTCCACCTTCAGCTGGAATAAAAGAATATCGTATTTTTGATCCGAATATTCTAGAACTTCTAATAGATCCAATTCTTGTGAGAATGTCCACTCCTTCTGCATTTTTTCGTGCAGAAATGATCGATTTTTGTTTAGCTCGACTATATTTACGCTGTTGCTCTATTAATTGTTTCTTGGATAGGAATTCATTATTTTCTTTGTTAGAATTCGAACCCTGTGTTGTTGGAGAATTTAGTTTCATTTCTCGTGTGATACGATTTATTTCAGAAGCTGATGGCATAGAGCGTTGTTGCCGATCTTCAGGTCGTAAAAGTCGTAAAACAAATATAGGTTCATCAGGACGATAATCCAATGTTAGCGATGAACTTGAATCAAAAGATTCAATTGATAAATGGTAAAGATTTGGTGGTGAAGGATATACTGAAACTAAATTTATTCCGGGATCCAATAATTTTTCTGATAGAATGTTTTAATAGGAAAATAAATTAAATTAATATCCATATCATTTAAATAAAACAAAACCAATTTAATTAAATATTTAATTACCTTCACCATCAACGATAACCATAAGCCTATAACGAGGGTTTCCTTCATCATCATCTAATATTCGTTCACCATCATCAACAATACCATCAAGAATTCCGAACTTTTCCATTGCTTTTTCTATAACATTACTAACAGTAGCAATCCCTGGCACGACCATAGTTTTCTCTTTGGGTTTTGCTTCTTCTCTTGAACGTCTCCGAGCAGCTTTTTCAGCAAGATGTTTTGGCACAGACATAGAAGTTCTTGGAATTGTTGGTCCTTTGGAGCGCAAATTAGTGGGTAAATCATCTGCGTATATTAAAACACGGATACGCAATTTCTTTTCGCTAGATCGACTATTTCTCTTTGTTTTTTTATTCAAATAGAAAGTGACACTATTTTTATCATCATGTAGTCCCAGATTTTTTATTGTCGCATGAGTAGAAATATTTGAAAGTGTTGAAGAAACTGACGAGATGGAACTTCTTCTAACAGTTGGTAATGGAACCGTATATGAGGAAGTTAGAGTTTTGAATATTTCAAGAGGATGATCGTGAGGCATTAAGTGAGTAACTTATAAAATCTAAAAATTTATAAATTAATATAACTATTTATTTATCAATTTTAGAGTTATGATTTTATTACCATTAAAAAAAAAAAAAAAAAAAAAATTTAACAAATATAATTTTATCACAATGAAAATATAAACATTATATAGACACCAACCTCCGTCAACTTCTTTAATTGTAATATAATAATCATCCCAGTTTTCTTCACTATCTAATTTGAATCGAGTTAACGCTTGTTTGATAAGCGCGGAAGCTGTTGTTGTTTGACTTAATAATACAATCTTGAAATCCACATCTGATTGAATATTTTGTCCTGCAAAAACTCGAAGAACATTATACAGTGGAGTAGCAGGTGTTGCGGGAGTTGCAGGTGTTTGTACCGAGTTTTCAGATTGAGTATATTGTTGAACTCGTATAGGCGATGGGATTTTCTTATTTTGTTGAACCTGTGCGGGTCGAACATTACCGCTACCTTGTTGTATTTGATCTTTTCTTGGTTGTTGAAATTGCTGATGCTGTTGTTGTTGTTGTTGCTGCTGCTGCTGTTGCTGCTGTTGTAGTTGCTGTTGTTGCTGTTGTTGTTGCAGCAATTGCTGTTGCTGTTGTTGCTGCTGTTGTTGTTGCAATTGCTGCTGCTGTTGTTGCTGTTGTTGCTGTTGCTGTTGTTGTTGTTGTTGCAATTGCTGCTGCTGTTGTTGCTGCTGTTTTTGTTGCAATTGCTGTTGCTGTTGTTGCTGCTGCTTTTGTTGCAATTGCTGTTGCTGTTGTTTTTGTAGTTGTTCCCGTACACTTCCCTGATTAGGTTGTTGTTGTTGAGAATTTTGTTGTTGAATAGATGGTTGTCCATACAATGACGGTTGTTGAGGGCGGGATTGCACACGTACTTGAGCTGTTTGAGGTTGGATAGAATCTAATCTAGGTTGATATAATTGTTGTGATTGAGGTTGATTTTGTTTACCAGATTTAACATTAGATTGAGAAGTTGGAGGAGATTTAACAGGTTCTTCATCCTTTCTCTTTTTTTTCCTACTAAAGAGATTCTTCATAAAACCTTTTTCTTTCTTCTTTTCATCTTTCTTTGGTTTCTTTATCTCTGCAACTTCAGCTATTCTGTTATATTCTTCGAGGTTTGTAGCAGCAGTGCCTTGTTTTCGTTTAAAACCGCCTTCATCATCATCATCAGAGAAATCCATAAAGTCACTACCTAATTGAGGAGTCAAATTTATTTTGATGGTCTCAGTTACGTCATCAATTTCTGGGGGGAATTCAACACTAGGTGGAGGTATTGGAGCACCAGTTTCTTGAATTATCGGACCAGTTGGTTTTCTATTTTGTATTTGACGTTGAAATAGACTCGGTTCTTCACTAGATTGTCGAAGAGACATATCAAGACTTTGTTTATCATTCATATTTTGAATATCATTATTATTATTTATATTTTGAACGTTGTTTATATTTTGAACGTTACTTATATTTTGAACGTTGCTCATATTTTGAACGTTGTTTATATTTTGAACGTTGCTTATATTTTGAATATCGTTTATATTTTGAACGTTGCTTATATTTCGAATATCGTTTATATTTTGAGTATCATTTATATTTTGAATTGATTGCTGCTGATACATTTGTTGAGTATTGGCATCAAATTCCACTTTATTATCTATATTATTTTGCATTTGGTCTTCTACTAATTGAGTTGTAGTAGTAGTTATTAAACTTGCTTGATCAGTAATTGAAGCACTTGAAGTGTCTTTATCTTGATTATTTGGACTTGCAATTTCTTCTGGTTCATCAACAATTTCTAATTGTTGTTGTTGTTGTTGTTGTTGTTGTTGTTCTTCCTCATAATGTTCCACTAAAGTTCTATTATTATCAACATCTCGTTCTTCTCGTTCCTCTTCTTCATAATCAAGATCTTCAACATCATCATCCTCAAAATATTCATCAAATTCTTCATCATAATAATCATCTTCTTCTGCCACAACATATACTGGTGAAGTAAATTTAACACCTTTAGAATCATTTGGTGGCTTTTGATTCAAGTCTTCTTCTCTATTATTTACCGAAGAGGATAACTTTTTTTTTAAAAAAATAAAAAATAAAAAAAAATTTTTTAGTAAATAAAAGAAAAAAAAAAGACCAAATATGATCCGATTAAATAAAATCAATAAAATCTCACGTTAACATTACGATGTTTATTTAATCTCGCCAATCTCTCATATGGAGTCTAAAAAAATATATATATAAATATATTAATTATGATCGCTCGAAAAACAAAACAAAACAAAAAAAAAAAAAATTTAATCAAATTTAATTAAATTTAAAAATTCACCTCAATATTTTCGGCAGGTATATAACCAACTTCATCATTTTTTAAAACTTTAACCAACCACCAATAACTATTTGAATCATCCAATAAAGTTAAAGAATCACCTTTTTCAACACTAGCTTGACCTTCAACAGTAGCTTGAAAAGTATGTAAAGCGTATACTAAATCAAAATCAATATCTTCATCAGGTATTGAAGGTGAAGAAGTTAATTCATCATCTTCTTCACTATCAATATTATTATTAATATCATTCCCTTCTAAAGAATTATCATCAGAATCCGTATCATTATTCCGATTTTTTTGTATTGATGATTTATTAATTCTTTGACCTTTTGCTGCAGCTTCTGTATCAATTGAAAGATTATGTTGTCTTAACATTTTTTTTTTTTTTTTTTCTCTACTACTTTTTTTATTTCTCTCTCTCTCTTATATAATAATAAAATAATAAAATAGCTAAATATACAGATTTACTTTTTTTGAAATGCTATTTTTCCCTTTTTCTCAAAAAATGTTATTTAATTCGGTTCATTATAAATATTTGAATGTTAAAATTTAACAAGTAAAGTTTCGTATGTCGGTAAAAATAACAATGTAAAAAAAAAAAAAAAAA